ATTCCAGATTTTTTCGTTCAAAGAACTATTTATAGTAATATTTTAAACGTCTAGCAGAGAATTGATATAAGTTAACTTCATAGCTTTTAGTTAGATTATCTTTGTTGATTTTTTAGTTTACCCATGTTCCGAACCCTTGCTTTTTGGCGCAGAACTCTGAGTCGCTATCTTTCCCCTCAGGCAGAATAACTGATAGAGAAATGCATCAACCAATTTAAAAATGGGCGATTTGTTGATATATAAAATTTATAACAATTTTTCCTTGGGAATAGGTGAAGGACCATTCTTTTCTTTCAACCTTTTGAACAATATTTTTAGTTAACGGTTTTAGTCACCTTTTAAGATCAGTGCGAAATGCCGACAATTGCGATTTCCCACTCTTGCTTATCATTTTAATCCTTATCATTTTAATGTACTAATAAATGATTACACACCGTCACATTATTTATTCGTTGCATCTCATGCAGTTTATGATTTTTCGAAATATTTTTATTTTTATTGCTTAATTATTTTTTATGAAGAAATTTTTAACTTGCACTTATCATTTTTTAAAATCGATTTTCAATTATATTTTTATGATTTTGTTTTTTCAAACTTTTTTATACTTTTTTTATATACTTGCAAAATCAGATCAAACCATCGTCAAACAACATTCATCACTCATTTGTCATTTTTGGTTCACTCACTTCAGGCGGATCCCCAGTATCACTCGAGTCGCATATTTAGTCACTACCATTTTAGTAACTGTCGCCAAGAAAGAACAATCGAACTCTTACTGAGTCGAAACAGCGTGCTCCTTCATCGATCCACTCGTCTCTGCAAACATTTTTTTTTTCGCCGATTCGTGATGGTCGCTGCCAAATGCTGATAAAGAGATTAGTATGATTTCTACTCAGAGAACAGGAATAACTACCACTTATTTGCATGTCAGATGCGGAGCAAGATAGTCAAATGGTGTGGGTGTGGAACTTGGGCCGAATTCGAACTGTTGCGAGTTCCCCCTGCTCTTTGACTGCGTACTCACTTGTATCTCTATAGTTCCAAGTGATTCTCTGGTGAAAGAATCTTAGTAGTTAGTGGGACCTGCCAATCCAGTAATAGTTAAAAGAATAGAAAATATCTCTTGTCATACCTTGTCATATATCTTGAATTTAGAAAATATCTTGTCATTATAAATATGAAAAAAATAATGAAAAGCACTTAAAAAACAAAAAGAAAAAAATACTGTGAAAAATATTGGAAGTAAAAAATGTTGAAATCCAGTTTTTTTGTAAGATAAATGGCTGAAAATCCAGAAGCCTTCGTATTTTCGCGAATCTTATTTCCTACTTGTCTTATTATGCCATTAAATAACGATGAAACGCTAAATTATATGCAAATTTCGTACAAATAGGATGCATTCAAAGAAAAAGAACTGATTGCGAAGATTTCCTCAGTCTATAAATGTTATCGTATCTATTAAAAAGCCTTTTTTTTCTTATAATGGTAACTGAAATTTCTTTTATAACCAGTTTTATTCGATCCTAAATTAATTTTTTTGCAATTCTTTTGCACAGACTGTTTTTGACTTTTATTCAGTTGCACTCATGCATGCATCTGCCTGCTTGCTGCTTGGTGCATCAATTATTTCATGCGATGCGACTTTGAGAACTGTTATGATCTTAAATGTTGCCATGTTTTAAACATTCAAATTTAGTCAAATGTAACGATGTAATATATTGCTATATCGACTATTGTGATAAGTTAGGATAGATTTTTCTAAGGCAAACCAGTTTTCCCTGGTTTTCTTTCCATTAAAGCAGTACGAAAATTGCATATAATTTAGTCTTTCATCGTTATTTAATTGCATAATAAGACAAGTAGGAAATAAGATTCGCGAAGATACGAAGGCTTCTGGATTTTCAGCCATTTATCTTACAAGAAAACTGGATTTCGATATTTTTTACATTCCTGTATTTTTTATTTTTTGTTTTTTAGAGTGATCATTTTCATCATTTTCTTCAAATTTTAATTTGTTTTTTATAAATGAATTTGTCGAAATGATTGATATAATAATTAATCATTCTATTCCAAAGTTTTAAAATTGTCGAATAAAGTTATTTTAATTAAAAACTGGATGGTGCATTCGCGTTGGATCTATATAATTCTCCTAAAACCTATCCAACTCTTTTCTTTACTTATTATTTATGGGAGTAATTTTGCAAAATCAAATCAAGTATTATTAAATTATTCGCATATAAAGTCAACATTAGTGTTGCTAAATATTCCACCAAATAGCAATTAATTTAATTTAATTTATCAAAAATTACTCGATAACTTCTTCTATTACTAAATTACTATTCCTTTATTAGAGTTGATAGGCAGTGAAAAGTGGTTGTGGTTGAGGTACTGCGTGAGAAGAAAGGGTCCCGCTTCTGCCTCCGCAAACTTCTCGTTTAAAAATCCTGTCGACCCACCTGCATTTCTATTCGAGTCCAATTCCTCACAAAAATTTCTAATTTTACCTATGCTCTACAGAGTTAATTTAAGCAGAAACGATAAGCGCACTTATTTACTTTTGCTTGATGATTAGTACAAAAATTAATTACATTGACTGCTAAAAATATTTAAAATCGCGTAGAATAATTTGAAAATGATTTCAAAAAAGGAGTATTCATCTCTGAGAAATATTTTCAAACTGCATTCGCATTCATTAATTTCATTTTGTGAGCTAATTATGTTGCTTTCTTCTTTTAAATTACATATCAATCGTTAGGTCGTTTTTCTAACCAAAATCTTTTGCTTTAAAGCTTTAGCAAATTTTTACAAACCTAACAATTCAACTGCAATCTTAAAAAGAATCCAAAAAAGACGGTTTATGTGAATTATTTTCTTCCTTTTTATATGTGAAAATACATGCGGCTGTGGCGTCACGTCGGATAATCTTTTTTATATTTATTATCATTTTTTCCAAGATGGATTTTTTACTTCATCGACGAGAAATTAATAAATTCAAGCATTTCTTCATAAAAATTTCAAGCATCACAACTGATATAACTGTTTGATATTTACTCGAATCACCGGTTGGCCGCGTTGTCTCTAGCTTGTTGGCCACGGCTGCATTTTTTCTTTCGGCTTTTTTACGATTAAGATTCGAAAAATTAAACAGATGAATTTGTTAATAACTGATAATGGTGGCTTATTTTCCTTATGTTTTCTTTAAATGCTTGACATTTGACCTTTCCCGTTACTCTCCCAGTTTTCCATCGCATTTCCTGCATTTTTTCTAAACACCATTTTCTTCTAATTAAGTTTTTTTCAAATTATTTATTTTTTCGTTTTGTTAATTTTTTCAAAATAATTTTTTCCACTTCTTCTACTTCTGTTTACTTTTTTAAAGTGCATTTAAATTTTATAATTCGTTCATTTTTCATTAATTAGCGATGAGAACGAGTTTCGACAATTTGTTTATTTAATCTTTTTTACGAGTTGTTTGTGTTTTTTTATTCGCAGACGAGTCGTATTTTTATGTTCCTTTATTTATTTTTTATTTTTCGTAAATATTTCGTCAACTTTTATCCTTTTTCTTTGTTATTTATTTCACTTTCTTAAATTTTGTTCTTTTCGGTTAATTTGACAGCAGAATTTTTCATCATGGAAAGAGATTTGATGGAAATGCGGCAGTGGAAGAGGGTACCTACAGTTGGGAAGTACGGTAAGGCAATAAAAAAAGGTATATGCAGTTTATTGCAGGCGCTGTCCATTTAACCGAAAAAAATCAATTTAAAAAAGGCATGAAAAATTTTTTAAAATTTTTTATTGTTGTTCAAGTTTTCGAATTGTTTATATAATCAGAAAGGCATTTTTTTCTATAAGATATTTATTCTTCTCTTTTTAATAATACTTTTCATTCCATTATTTCCATTATTTTTAAATATACCCAATATAACATAGAATAATAACTCATTCATCTTCGTTCATCTTTATTTTACCAAAAATTAATATTTTATTTTTTTCAATTTTCGATAAAATGTTAAAAATAAAAAGTTGAAAGAAGGAGAAGGGAAATTTAAAAATTTCTTCATTTCCCTTCATAATATGCATAAATTACTTATGCGAATATCTGTCCGGTTGATTCCACTATTTGCAATACGAACACAAATTTATCTGCGCAGATATTCATTGAAATGTTGATTGCAGGAATGGATATAATACAGATATTAAAAAATCTGTATTATCGTTAAACCTGTATTGTCTAAGTGAAATTTCATTTTTTCATCTCTTGCTTATCGTTTCTAGTTTGTCTGCATCTTTTGCTCGCAAAATCCATTCTCTGGTGATTCAGTTTTGGGGATAAATATGGTTAGGTCTTCACTACGTTCCATCTGGGTTTCATTTTTAATTGCAAGATTATTCCCAAGGAGTAAAAACCCATAATGCCTTAATACATAAAGTTCACCTATATACTAATCTAAACGCAAGTTGACAGGTTCATCACCATAAGTTTTTGCAAATTTGTTCGCGTGCTATCCATATGAGCCAAACACAATAATTATATATCATTTAGTATGAAATTAATCGATCCTTGCATTCCTCGAAATATTTCATTTCCTGTATTTCCGCTATTTTCTTTTATTTATTTTTTTCTTGACTGTAGCTTGTTAATTTTTATTCAATGAATTTTTCCTGGAGATGCAATTTTTGTTTGCTTGCTTTTCCTTTTTTTCTCTGTTTTTTCAAATTTTTCCTGTCTGTAATAATTTATTTATAATTTGTGATTGTATTTGAAGAATTGTTATATTTATTATTTCCATTCTTTTTTATTACTTTCTGCATAATTAGTTGATTATATCAAATGAAATTATTGGTTATATAAATGGATATTTTTTTTTAAACGAAAAAAACATATATGAAAAGCTCGATTTTCGATAGAAAAAATATAAAACGTGAATATTAAATGATATGAAATCTCGGCTTTTACCAGAAAATGATTCAAATGATTTTGAAAATTTTAGTTGATAATGGAACCGATTCCAGAAGAAGATCATGATTCAGTCGATGTTATGCATAGTGATAATGTGGTTAAGCATGAACGAAAAACTCGACTTACCGAAGTTTATACGTCCGAACAAGTTGATACTTTAGTCAGGTTTCGTTTTTTTGTTTATTTCTGTAGTATTTCTAAGGTTTATACAGTATATTTAATATTTATATAATGTAATATTCAGATAATTAATAATATTTAATATTTAAATATTCGAAATCAAATAAATTTTTTTCAACGAAATTTTAAGCTGATAATAAACGAATCCTTTTCCGACATTGAGAAACAAATTTTTGATATGAATTTAATTTTGACTGAAAGCTTAAAGGAAATTTTGAAGAAAGTGAGTCGTTAAATTAATCGTCAGTTGGTCAGTCTTTTTTTTCTTCTTGCTTCTCTTAATTTTGATTGATTTTCTCCGTTAATTACTAAATTAAATTATAGTACCGTACCTGAATCCGCTGTACCTGATTCGTGGAAATTAGCCAACGATGAAATTAATTTAGACCCAAGGTATTTTTCTTTTAATGAAATTAATCATTAATGAAATTTTTTAAAATATTTTTTTGAAATATGAAAAATATTGTTGATGTTTTGAATATTATTGAAATTGTTTTGAGTTGATGAAAGGACTGAAAAAGAGAATGGAAATCGAATACCGAATCATTTTTCTAGTAAAAGCTAGGTGTATCTAAATAAAAATGCTATTGAATATGTAAGTGGTTAACACTCACTATTTACTATTAAAAAAATTTTTTTAAACTTTTCGATACAGGATTAGATTATTCTGCGTGGATTTTTTAATGATAGTCTTTATTTTGCTGGAGAAGTCCGAACTCTCAAAAAGACGATTGCAGCCATTTTTGTTGCTAAAAGTAATAAAAATATAATATTGCTCCAATATCCTTTTTTGTTTCTTGCTTGTGGAAGCCTATAAGTTTGCTTCCCTCTTCACATTATTTCACATTAATGAAGCTTTCATTTATAAATTATATAGAATTGTTGATAGAAATTGATCGGATTTTTTCTGTTCCTTATCATTCATATTATTTTAATGAATTGTTTGTTAAAATTCCTTTGGAGCAATGTGAAAGCGAAAAGGGGTGATGAAATAAAATTTATATAAAGCTATCTCTTTGTCTGCATAGAAAACATTAATTTGCTTTAGTCTTTTGATGTTTGTCCTTATAGGGTATTTTCTTCGGCTTTCGGCTGTTATGTTATTTTTGCAAATATACATTTTGTATACATTTTTTTTTATTTTTTATTTGCAACGATTGAATAGACCTTCTAAAAGGAACCTCTCACCACTTTAATTTTCAGTTTAAAAATCTTGAGCATAAAGTTTCAGCTACCACTTTTAAAAAAATATCACTTTTCTTTGGTGATTATTTTTGATATTTTGTACCATAAAACATTTTTATTTTTTCGCAGTATGTCGTCCACTTATATAACTGAAGCTGTAGCCGGGCCAACAAGTTCACGTGGTTCCACTTATAGTTATACATATGAATCACATTTCGATGAGACACCGGCAGAAGAAATTAAACATTATGATCAACAAATGACTAATGGAGATGTCGAACGTCGTTCTATGCAGACACAAAAGGTTTTTTTAACTCGCTGAGATGATTTGAAATATCAAGCTTTAATCGCCATTATTAATTTGAAAATTATAGATTGAAGAAGTCTAAAGTATTTGCTATTAGCTAAAGTTGCTCTTTTTTCTATTATTTTTTAATCACTTTTATCTTTCGTCAGATTTTTTTCTTCAAAATTCAGTGGTATTGTTTTAATAGTTGATAAAATTTGAAATGAATAGAGCAATGAGACCGTTTGCTTTGTGATTATAGAAATATTATTTTTCATTATTATTTCATATGATTATAATTATTATTTTATTACTGTTCTATAGTTATAATATCTTCTTCTTCTAATAGTTCTCACCATCACTAGTTAGGCTGACTCTAACGATTACAAGGGTAAAGCGTTTTCAAGTGGACGGTCTGATCCCATCGTTGACAGTAATAGAAGCCATTCCATTTTCCATAGTCCAAATCCATAATTACTGGTCCATCTATAGGTTCTTTCCTTGCCATATCAGTCCTCCCTTTTGACGCCACCCATCATATGGTTTAGTAAGTAATGAAATATGTCAACTTCTGTGGTGGACGACGTACCCTAAGCAGCGAGGGCGACGCTCTATGATAACATTATTAATGCAAGTGGTATTTGAAACACAGACCTGCTCTGCTTTCGTTGCAAATTTTCGAAGCATCGGATAGTCAGGATCACCTAATATTTATGCTTTGACATCTTTTTCAGACTGTTAGATAATTGCTTCCGATACCGAACTAGCGCACTTTCTACTAGTACCCTCGCATGGAAGTGGTTGACTTCCTTTAGTCTGGGCCAGTATTCATTCGCCGTTCCAGAAAATTGATATTTTCCAAATTTTTTAATTTAAGGTAGTTGAAGTATCTCTGGGGATGCTGTTTTCAGCGACTTGTCAATTTTATGCGGATCTTGGCTCGAACCATAACATGGTCAGATCCAAGATTATTTAGTACGGAACTTCTTTAAACGGCGACTGACTAAGATATAATCAGTCTGGTTGAAGGTTGGTTGTTCGGAGAGTTCTACGTGACTAGATGTTTCCTGCGATGCCGGAAGTAAGTATTAGTAACGAAAAGTCCATGTTCTTCGGGATAACGAAGATGGCGTTCTTCATTGGCGCACCAGTCTCCGATGCCATATTTGCCAATCAGTGGCTTTATGACCTATACGCGCATTCCATTCTCCACCGATTATGACTATGTCATATTTTGGTAGAGACTTTATAAGTTTCGCATAGAACTTATCTTTATAACGGTCATCTGACAAAATTGAGGCATAAATATTGATGATCGAGATATTGCAGAACTTTAAAAGGGGGGACCATACGATCCGGTTTCCACTCAATTAAAGGGGAATGGGCCTTGTCAAACATGACAATCCCTATGCCATTTCTCCTCGAGTTACCCGAAACATTACAATGATATACCCAGATATTCTGCTCCGAGCCAGGAGTAATTTCTCGAAGTGAGGAAGACGGATCTGGACAAGCAGGCGATATTCACACGATATTTAGAAAGGGTGTGGACAAGTGATGGCTTGACTTGCAACGTCCATAAATGTTCTGACGTTCCACGCTAATACGGCTAATACCTCACCGCACATACAGTTTTGTTCCCCTTGATAGGTTTCATTACCCTAGTTTGCGAACACTTTTATTTATCACTTTTGGGATCACTTTAGATACGCCCGGATTGTATACTTATCGCATGTACCACCGGGCTGGGAGTATCATGCTCGTCGGAAGATGCGGAAACCGTATCAAGAATACTTGATTCTTTTAGAATAGAATAACTTGGGGATAGAATTACAGATGGGTCCCCAGTAACCACTCCGATTTTTGAAATGACAGATATATTCCTGTCAAAGACAGACATAATTATTTTATATTTTGTAATTTTATTATATTTATAATTTTATTATATAAATTTTATATATATATTTCATTTCGGTTCCTTGTTTTTTAAATTCAGAAAAAACTTAGCTTGTAGTTTACAGAAATTCTAAAAATATTTCGAAAAAAAACGGCTATAATATGATTATAATTATTTTATATATTGTCACATTGCTTAAAAATTAAATCCTTTCACAACCTGTGATATAATCTAATGAATTTTCATAAATTTTTAGTATTTTTCATCTTCTTCTCATCATTTTTTTTTGATATATTTAAGAATGTAAAAAAAAATAAAAATTTTTTGCAAAAAAAATTTATGGGATTTTCAGTTTTCATATTAAAATTTTTGTCATTTAACAAAGATAAAAAATAAGATAAAGTTAAAATTAACTTCAGATAACTCGAGTTACTAAAGTAACAACAACAAGATCAGTTCGGCAAATGCCAATTAATCGGTTTGATAATGAAATTTACTTTAATGCTGAGGGGAGTCCTGTACCTGCCAATGAAGCATCAACATCTTTTTATGAAAATGGTTTTTTTAATCATTTTTTTAATCTCGGTGGAAATTAATAAAGTTTCAAGTTTTTATAGTAGGGGTGCTCGAATTGTGTGGAATGTATGAATATGGGTAAAATAATTTGCAAAAATTATTCTCATTTTTTTCATAATTATTTAATTCACAATATTTAGTTAACTATAAGGAATCTGATTATTTGGATTCTGGAATGAATTTGCCTGATAATGATCAGTTATCATCCAAGATGCACAAAAATTTGTATGATATACCTCCTCCGGCACCAAGTTCTCATTATGGTTCTCGAGTAACTTCATCCTTATTACATCATGGTTTGATTTTTTCTCTTCGATTTTTGCTTTTCGCGTTAATTCTTTTTCACTATTTTTAACAAAAATTGTCAGATAAACTTAATTGTCCTGGCATGCCACATGTGCATAGACTGGATTCTGGTGAAGTTGAAATTTCGTGGGCACCTCCGGAAAAAGTTGGCCTTGATGAACCTATGATGGGATACCAGGTATTTTGCAAAGATTTCGACTCGATTTCGCATAAATTTTGTTAATGAAATATTAATGCATTTTTTTGTGCTAATTTTTTTAACTTATGAATTAGTATGTAATTCATTTGAAAAATTTTAATAAAATAACTTTTTTGAGGTCGAAGTTCGGCAAATTGGCACTTTAAAATGGCGTATTGTCGAAGAGAGATTGTTTAAGGAGACTCGCTGTCGAAGTTTGTGCTTTTTAATTCTCCTTAAATTAATTAGAATTTTTTTTTGAATTTTATATTCTTTTTCTCTTGATTCTCTTGATTAGTATTTGATCGATCAATTATTAATGATTCTGTTATTATTTAAAAGTTTCGAAAATTTAAATTAAATTTGTTTATCGACAGATTTAAAATTTATCGACAGATAAAAATGATAGAAATGCCAAGAATTAATAAATGAGATGTTGAAAGTTTCCTTTTTCTTCTTTAATTCCTCTTCATATTTTTTTAATAAATTTAATTTGTTTTTGCCTAATTTTACAATTTTTAGTGAATATTTATAATTCTATCGTATTTTTATATATTCTCATTCCATTTCTTCATAGTAATTTCTTTGTTCTCTTCTTTTGTCCATCTTCTCATCTAATTTTACCGTTTTCAACATATATCTCATCAGTAGAACTATTAAAATATATTCGTTACCTATTGATAAATTTGTCGATAAATTAAATCGTTACCTATTGAAAGAATTCGTCCGAGAATGAAAAAAGAAGGCAGTGGGGTTCATTGCCAGCTCCGTCATTTCATTTAATCTTTCAAACCTTATATATATATATATATATGATTACATATCATATCATCTCTAATCACCTTTCTCCTATTATTTTTTTTTTATTTTTTAAATATTAATTAAAGTAATCATTTTCATTTCCGTATTTTATAAATTTTATATTAATAAATATCTCTTCATCTCCTGGACACTTTCGATTCATTACTTATCTAATATATTTACTTGTTTGAATGATAATTACTATAATAATGATAATGATAATTACTGTACTTTTCGACTCTTTATCATATCTATTTTCATTTTTTTTACTTATTCAATTTCCATCTTCGTACTTATTTGCATTTCATCCAGCATAAATAATTTTTATAAATGGGAGCTTCTTAGTTTAAGCCAAAGTAGGAAAATCATTCCTTATTTAACCGTTCGAAATTTAAGTATCGTGGTATAATAACTGATTTAAACCATATTCTTATTAGAAAAAATTTTTTTTCAAAAATTTTATCGAAATGGAAAAAATAATGAAAATGAATCAATTTGATTTAATTCATTCTATGATTACTGATCGAATTTCTTTACAAGTTCTGCAAGCCATTATTTGCCATAATCGTTGGATTTAGGCCGAGGTATGAGTTTGTTGACCAAATATTCATGCTAAGAAAATGTTAGCATATCGCTTTAAATATCGGCAACCAACTTCCACTTTCTTTATTGATTTTGCTGCCACCGCACTCTGGAAGGTGATGGAATACAACGGTGTTTACAGAGATCATTCGACTCGCAAAGGTATTTTGCTAGCGCAGATCGACATAATTCTATATATATGGAGATCCTTCTGGAATGAGAACTGATGTACGTCAGAGATGCATTCTTTCTTCTGCAATATTCAACTATTTAATTGATCGGATTATGGACACATAGACACAGCATTCAAGAAATACAAGTCGGTTTCAAGCGTTACATATTAGCGTTACATATATGTTACTGATGGCATATTCTAAGTACTTCTTTTTGACAGTTATGAAGAAATGCAAGAGACACTAAATAACTCATTGACAACTGCAAAATCGAGCTGAGAATCAATATACGATTGCAATTGCGAACCATCATTGGAACACGAGATAATTTCAGCAATTCACAGGCTTAACACCAATGCATCAAACTCCCAAACTCTTGTAATATCGCAATTTATATAAATTCGTAACTGTCGAAGTATCTGGCTTTAAATATCTCAGATTCACTCGTATAATCTAATGGTCAGATGAATGGCCGGAATTCTAGCTTAGATGGCTGCAGCCATGAGTGTCTTCTTTCGTCTGACCAAAAAGTCGCATCTATCTGGTTGTAATACGCAGTTCTTCTATATTACTGCAAAACTGGATCAATGAGAGTGGGAGATATCAGGAAAGGGTTATCTGCCTTTCCCTAAAATCCTATATCCTACATACCTATTAAGTGGACGGAATCTCATAATCTTTGCTCGAATACTATTCGCATTACGATTTGTTTGACCTTGTGATAAATGGTGTCAAAAGCCAGGAAAGCCAATTAAGACCAGTACGGCAACAAAGAAGATTTTGAATGCATAGGCGACTCAGGACTTAGGCGATAAAAAGGGGAGTGGTTTCTGTTGTTCTCAGATATCGAATGCTTTTCCACTGTAGCCGGTGAAGCTAGTTCCACCAGTACTAATACTAACCAGTACCAGTTAAAAAAAGACTTTATGTTTAATTTTTAAGCGGTTAGGCTTTTTAGTTTTCGATTCGCTTTTTAATTAGCATGGATTATATGCATGAATAAAGTAAAATTAATGTTATATTAGTTGAAATTAATAATTGCCTATATGCATTATCATTTCGCAGTTTAACCATCATTTGTGTAATTTTATTAAGTGAAAAAACTGGATTCTTCAGGATTTCGAAAAATAAGATAAAAGTAAGACCAAAAGATAAATAAATGCTGAATTTTATCTGATAATTTCAAATATAATTTTTGCAGTATCGGGTTTGGATCCAATGATGGAATACGAATTTCGTGTACAGGCAGTAGATTCAGCAGGCTATTGTCAACCATCTCTTCCATCCGCAGTTGGTAAATTGAAATCATCCATAAGTAAGTGTTATAAATTAATTTTTTTAGTAGAAGGATTCAGAAGAATTTATAAAATTTCTTTTCTTAGATGAAATTTTATAAATTTAGATAAATGGGAAGGAGCAGCTCCAAGCAAGCCTTACATAACTTTTATGGATACGGATCGAGTTTTATTAGAGTGGGATCCAGCTGTGACCGATCCAAATTGTGCTCCGATTGCAGGTTATGAGGTTGTTTCCTTTTTATTATTATAAAATTTCTTCAGTTGTTTGATAAATTGTATTGCTTGTTATCACCTAGCATTGGTAAGCGCTGGTCATCCAGATGATTAAAAAGCTCGTATAGATTGGGAGAACTGGTGGATGCAAGATTATATTCAAGCTCCCAGCATTCCTGCTCCTTTCTAATGTCTAATGTCTAATATATTTGTATTTCTTGTACTTCAATCTTCAAGCGGTTCTTTGCCGAAAAGTTCTCATTTTAGTAGATCATTCAGTGAGGCTAAACAAATATTAAAAAATATGAGTATGAATACTGAGTATGTACGAAGAAGTAATAATGCTGCTGGTATCATCTATGCATATTTGTTGGTATAGAAAGTTATCAACCTTGATTGCCTTTGTTTGGTATCTGCATTTATATCTTATATTTTTTATAATGTTGCTATATAATATAATATTTTATAATATAATATTTCCCAGTATTATTCTTGTTACAGGTAGAATATCGCGCTACCGGCAGTACTGATTGGATGCAGTCGAATAATTTTCTGATAACTGATTGCAATTACGAAGGTAAAATTTTTCATTGGTATTTTTAGAATAATATATAATTTTAATATAATTTTATAACTTTTTATATACTTATAATTTTTTGAACAATTACGTAGTTATTTCATAAATATTGTTATAGATTGTTATTCATAGATAGTTTTATTGTTTGCAAAAATATTTAGTTCAAAATTTGCGTCCATATGGTGAATATGAATTTCGAGTAGTAGCACGAAATGTAGATGGTTTGTCTCAGCCAGGTTTATCATCTGGAATCATTCGAATACGACCAACAGTTCCATCTCGCATGACTTCATCACAGAGTAGAGTCGATATTATTCCTCCGGGCCAGCCTCAGGTATATTTTCAATTATCATTCTCTCTGGTTTCTCTCTGGTTTTTAACTATTTGACAGTACGATGAGTTTTTTTTGCTTTATTTTAATTTGTGGAGAAATAAATGATCAGCTATTGTAACTTTTAAAGTTATTCATAGGTTATTGAGCTTGATGTGGATTGGGTAAAATTACATTGGGCTGAAGCAATGTGTAATGATATTCCACCTGCTTCATATATCGTCGAATTTCGGGAAATTGGTGATCCTTTGTGGTACACTGCAAATGCAACCGTCTGTGACACCACATATTTGGGTATGAATTTATTTTTCATTGACAATTTTGTTCAGTTTAGCTAAATTTTAATGTAAAATAGTAAGAATTTAAAGTAAGAATTAATTAATAATATATATAATATAATATATATATATATGTATATATTATATTATATAATCTAAAGTCGGAATTAATGAATAAATAATCTATCTTTAATAATATTCTATTACCACTATTACCACTCAACAGTATCTGGTTTGTCTAGTTTTATTTTGTCCATTGTCTATAGAAATAGTACCGCTTCGTTAATGATTCAGTTAAAATGTAGGTGGGCCCACAGCATCATCATTAGTAAAAATATCAAAAAATGAAGTAAATTTTGATTCTTAATTTGAAATTCAAAGCATTTTATTTTGTAGTAGAACGTTTGCGTCCTAATTCGACTTTTGAATTTCGTGTAATTGCGCGAATGCGTGATGGTAGTGTTTCGAAACCTTCGATTGTATCTGATGTAATACAGTTGAGGCCTTCAATGAGACTAGGATTATTACACAGTGCACCATCTAAACCCCAACCGCCTGAATATGTAGATTTCGAAGGCAACGATCGTGTTACTCTTTGTTGGTATCCAGCAGTTAGTTCGCTGCCAATTTTGGTATGTTTTGGTATTTTATTATATGATTTTAAATAAGGTAATATTCATAGAATATATATATATATATTATTTGCTCATCGTCTAACCATTCTCTCACCATTACTGGTTAGGCTGGCGTGCTGCAAGAGTAAGACGTTTTACTGCTGTTCCATCTGATGCTCTCGTTGGCAGTAATAGAAACCATTCCATTTTCCATCGTCTAAGTCCACATATTGCAGATCCATTTATACGTTTAAGATTTTTCTAATTTTATTAGTCCAAGATTTGATTGGTTCTTTTCTTTTTGACACTCTCCATTCACAGATTTAGCGAGTAATATATTTAAAGTCTGGCACTTCTTCAACCGACTATGAATTGACGAAGTGATAAAAATAAGTATTTCAGCATCTTCTTATTATAAGACAAAAAGTCTTTTGTCTTTGTCTTTTTATTTACATCGATGCCTAGTCCGATTTTCGCTGCAATTGTTTAGCATTATTTGCATTTCGTTATAATTATCAGCAAAAAGGACTACATCTTCAGCGTATTCAAGATCTGTGATACTGTGATCGGTGCTCTGGACTAATTCGAACAAAATTTTTTCCTCTTGAGTGCCGGCAAGCAGTGTCCATTATCCAATCTATCGCATAGTTGAATATATATTAAGGAAGAGGATGCCAGTTCTTATTTCGAAGGAATCTATTAGCTCTCTGTATACACAGACCTGTGCTGACGTGCGCTCATAAAATGCCTTTATGAGTCGAATGTTCTCTGGAACACAGTTGTGTTCCATCACCCTCTAAAGCACCCCTCTATCAATTGAATCAAAGTCGCAAAGTCGATAAAACACGTGGTTTGTCAAATATCTGAAACACAAATATCTGAAGCGATGTTCCAACATCCTTTTTAGTGTGAAAATCTGGTCAGTACAGCCGCGTCCCGGTCTGAATACAGCCACCCCGCTGTCTCGTACTGTTTTTTCAATAGGAGGGAAGCAAAAATTTTCCTGGAAATATCTAGTAGGCTGATTTCTCGATAACTGTCACAGTATCTTGTTACCTTTCTTAGGAATTGGGAGCAGAACTTTGCTTCAGTCATCTTGTTTTTTTTTTACTATACTATTTCTATACTAGAGTATGTTTGATAAAGGTATGAACGACAACATTTGAAGAGTTCGGAGACCATCTCCGAGGTTTTATTGACCTTAAGTTTTCGGATTTTAAATTTTTGACAACAGGTGATTTTCTGGTAGTTCGAATTTGAGAACATATGGCTCAGCGAGCGATTCAGCTACGTTTGGCATCGTGGTCAAGTTTGGCCTTAAGAATTCCGCTTTATGACGCGATCTTAATAGCCTTAGCACACCATTACTATATAGTTTCATTTCGCCTCAAATTATAGTTATTTTATGAAGAAGGTGGAATATAGTTTCCTATTATCGCCTAATTAAACCAACATCTCCATTATTAAGACCATATAAGCATTCGATAGTCAGGGCCTTCATGCTTTAGTGACCTTCTCAGACGGTTAGACAGTTACTTCCAGCACCCAAATAGTGTATTTTCTACTTTATATTAGTATATCCTGCTATGGAAGTGGTTGAAGTAGGGCAGGTCACACATTTGTTTACTGGCTTCCTGTCAGAGCGGAGTGTCCCTTTTCAGATATGGCAATCGCTACGCCCTTTCGGCCCGGATTATGAGAAATGCCACAGTGTTAACCAGTAACCAGTGCTTCTTCCCGTTCAGTAATTTACTCGAGTCCCGAAGTGAGGATGACGGACCTCCGACAAGCAGACAACAGTCCGCACAATATTACAAAAAGTATAGACAATGATCTCTTTGCTTGCAACGTCCTGATTGTGAACGTTCTGATATCCCATGCAGCCATGGCCATCACTTCGCCTCGCATGCGGAGATCCGTTTTTCTTGATATGTTTCGAGCAATTAGCCCGGCTAGCGACCATATCATACAAGTCTTGGTGTCATTTACTATGCCGCAATTATATACTTATCGCATATACCGGGCTAGGAATATCAGACGTCAGACGTTGCCAAAAAGACCTGGTTTCTTTTATCGTACAATCACTTGGAGATAGAATTATGAGTGGCATTGATAAGCCACACCAATGGGTTGGTCCTCAACAACTATTCAGATTTTTGATGTTATGACAGGTTTATTCCTATCAAAGAAAGATGAGTAAAAATTAAGGAAAAAATTAAGGATAGATGATGAAACAGAAAAGAAAATAAAAGAAAAAATACTTTAAAGTTCATATAATTTATTCATTTAACAAGAATCTACAGCGAGAACACTATATCATTCGGGCTGGAGAAAATTGGGTGGATGGCAATAAAAAAAGAGAAAAAGATGGGACTGGTAAAGCTGTCAATGCATAGATCAGCTATAAATATCTTGACATCTCACAGGCACAGTGATGAGGCAAGAAACATCCAAATACCACAATAAAAGATAGATCACAAAGAATCGGCTCAATGAGAAAAATAAGGTCCACACAAGTTTCCGCCTGAATCTAACATCCATAGACTTTACATCATTAGGAAAGAAGGTGGATATGACTTGGTTAATATTGAAACCGCTATCCTATAGAACGAAAGGCGAATATTCAGGAATACACCAGTTAGATGTCGTCAAAAGATGAGCTTTGAGATTAGAGGAGAACAGAGAAAGTGCCACGGTAATCCGAGATTCTGCATATGATGTACCGTCGATAGATAGCTGAGATGGCTGACAATGATAGTGATAAACTTTGCTAGTGATTGGAAAAAATTAAGTTAAAAGACAGTACTGTGGCATTGAGAGGTCATAGCAGTATAAGAACAGGTATAAAACACCAAATCCATCTAAGTGGGGATATATTGCATTAGATAAGAGATTAGGAAGACCTAAAAAGTTAACCAACATGTAATGGCAGGATATAAGGTACAAATAGGGTTGGCATACTTTGAACGGCATAACGAAGTACTTGGCGTAATCTACTAGAATATCTGCCTCATATATGCGCTAGTCTTTTCCAAGATCAGATGGGAAGTTGCATAGAAAATTGTGGAGAATAGCAATGCCAAGATTTCATGAAATTTCCTGATCCAGATGGACAAGCAAATACTGACCCAATCAACCAGATGTCGTGGTAATTGGCAAAAACCAGAAAACATTGGTTTTAACAGCAATACCAAGTGAAGAAACATAATAAGAAAGAATATGAGAAACTAGAAAATATCAAGACCTGATAAAAGAATTAGAAATATGAGAAATGAAGGTCGAAATGGTCTAGTGGAGAACCGGCTCTCTGTGCATTGCTAGAAGCAGCTAAGATTGTACTGAACCCCTCAAGCTCTCATACCTCTGTCGGAAATCCGGGCTTGAGGACATGTAGAAGGGATAAAGGGATTTTTATATCTTATGTATAGAGAATATATATATATATATGTGACCGGATGGTAGTAAAGTGAGAAAAATAATTAAGATGGGTGAGCCTGCGAGGTGATAGATAAATAGACAAGCAACATCTATCCTAAAAATGTGTAGAAAAGAGTGCAGCGCTCAGAACAGCTAATATACCGCGTAACCCTCAGACTTCCGAACCACTAGGAGAAAAGCTGAGGCCTATTGACAAAAACCCATAACATTCACTGAGGGTGAAAAATGAAACTTTTTTTTATAATGAAGTGTTAATTTTTAGGGTTATGATGTTGAGTTTCGCGATTATCAGCAAGATTCTGCCTGGTATAAAGTGAATGAATTGTTGATTCATTCTTGTAAAATGACTGGTTAATTTGCTAATTTACTCTATTTCTTGATTTCATTTTTTCATTTCTCTCAAATTTATTTGTCATGCAACGAAAAAAATAAATATTGCAACTGGCTATAATTTATTTTGAGGAAAACTTAAAATTTTCTGAATTTTTGAGAATGTCTTATTTCCTTTTAATTTTGTTGATCTATTTTGTTAAATGGATTATTGGATGATTAATGGATTAAAATGAAACATTTTCAGTTGGGGATCTCATAACCGAACATGAATATCAGTTTCGCGTCATTGCCCATAACGCAATTGGTTTTTCAGAACCATCTGATCCTTCACCACCGATTGTTATTGGAGTACCGATTAGTGTGTTTTTTTGCAGTTATCTAACTTAACTTCTTATTTAACTTCTTTGTCGTGAATAATTCTTTTTAATAGATTTTATTTTAGAATAATTCTTTTTAAAGAATCTATTTTTGAATCAAAAATTGCTTTTGTGATAATTTTAGCACTATATTAACTTCAAGTTTTTTTTTAATTTCCCTTTTTATTTTTTTAGATGGTGATGCGAAATTTGTGGGAGCACAATATGGTTCTTTTCCGCTATTACAAGATGAAATCATTCGAGAATCACCCCCTCTTCCTGATAGAGATGATTCTCCTCCACCGATTAATAGAACATATATGAAAGGAAAGGATGGATGTAACATTTTTTCTTGTTTGAAATGCAATACTTTGGCTCATTTTTGATTAATTAGATTTTAGTACATTGGAGAGATCCAACATTGAAAGAGGTGATCGAATATCTGGATAGTCCGAATAAGATTGAACAGTTAAATGCTTCGGGTTATCTGCAACATCTTACATATAATGACAATGCAATTAAAGAAGAGACAAGGTAAGTTTTATTGTTTAACGAATTTCAAGTTGGATTTTATTCCTCTTTTTTTTGCTTTTTAGTATTTTATTTTTATCGCTTACTGTTTATATCATTCTAGGGAATTACATGGAATCCCAAAATTAGTGCGTCTGTTAAGCAGCGATGCTCCTGAAATTCAAAAAAATGCCTGTGGTTGTCTCAAAAATTTATCTTTTGGAAAAGAAAATGATGAAAATAAAGTATTTTTTCTTCAAATTTTCTTATCAATTAGAATTTTTATTTATTGAATATTTATTGAAAATATTTTCGAAAATATGCTTTATAAATTATTAAAATTAATTTTATTCAATCTGGATTTGTTGCTGCAGCGTGCAATCAACGCTGCTGGTGGAATTGAAGCATTGAGTGCGCTTTTGCGACAAGCTGCTGATGCACTAGTTCGTGAAGAAGTTACTGCCGTACTTTGGAACCTTTCTAGTAGTGACGTGAGTTTTCATCAGTTGTTTAACCATTTTACCGTCATGGATTTTGTTGCTTTATTATTTAATCCTTTATCATTGAAATTTTGCTTATATACCACTTAGTCTCAACTTTGTTCTAGTAAATTTTATTTCTTAATTTAATTTTCATTTCCATATTATTTTATAATAAAATTTTATACTAAAATATTTAACTTACAGGACTTGAAAATGACGATACTTGAACATTCAACTGATGCAATAGTTCAGCGAATTATAGTACCTGCATCTAACAGAGTAATTCAAAATGATATGAATTCAGGCAGATCTTATAACATTAATATTTTTCGAAATGCATCTGGTGTACTAAGGTGAACCAATACCATTTTGTATATTAATAGATGGAAAAACTTATATTATCGACTTTATATTTAAAAAAGAATTATTTTTTTCGACTTTCATTAAATTATTTCCAATATTTTAGAAATATATCAGCGGCGTCACCACTTGCTCGTAAAACACTCCGTAACTGTCCACAATTAATTGATGGATTATTTTATTTTTTAACTCGAGCTGTTTCGAAAAGTCAAGTGGATTCCCGTACTGTCGAGAATGTTGTTTGTATTCTACGTAATCTTAGTTATCGGTAATTTATTCATTTATTTTTAATTTTTTGATTTTTGGATTAGTTGTAATATTTTTGCTCCATCTTTTTTTTTAATTTTTCTATTTTTTTTAATTTTAGCATTCAAGAAGTTAAAGAACCGAACTATAAACCTCTGAAAATTGAATTAAATGGTTCAAATCGAGAAAGGAGTCGCTCCGCTCCATCAGGTAGTCCCAGAATTAAGAAAAAAGAACCAAAAAAAAAGAAAGGCAAACATGAAGCTACAGTCAGCGAAGTTCCTCCAACGGTAAGGTTCATCATGTTTTTTATCTGATGTATTCGTTACACTAGAATAGTATATACACTATGTATATACTAGAATTTTAGGGAATACTATTATTATGGCAGCCCGAATTAGTTCGTCTTTATTTGAAATTGCTGCAAGAGGCATCGAATTCGGAAACGCTTGAGGTTATTCGTATTCTCCATTTTAATTTATTTAAGTGAAATAAATGAAATTACAAAACAACCTGTAATTTATTTCTTTTTAGGCTTCTGCAGGAGCCATTCAAAATCTTGCTGCTTGTCATTTTGAACCTTCTGTGCAAGTTCGTGCTGTCGTCCGGACTGAAAAAGGCTTACCCATTTTAGTGGAACTTCTTCGCTTGAACGATGATAAAGTTGTTTGTGCTGTAACAACTGCGCTTCGGAATCTTTCACTTGATCCGGTTTCCTTAAAATTATTAATAGTTTTTTGCCATTATTTATAAAATGATTATATAATCATTTCTCTCGATTTCTTTAATTTATTAATCATTTATTTTTTTATTTTTTATCTAAACGATCATTAAAGATAATACATCAAATTATATATATATATATATATATATTAATGTTTAATATATATATATTTGATTATTTATATCATTGCTGGAAAACTATTCTAACATCAAATTAAGTGGATTTCTGAAAATGTCGCAAAAACGCTAAATTAAATTTAGAAGATCTTTAAATTTAAAAATTTTAAAATTTTTGGAAATATTATATCATTATTGGTAATCACAACCCAGTTAAAAACTCAATCATTTTTTGTTGGTTTTGATTGACAAAGCATCAAATTATGCCATATTTTGCAATATGGCTTTAATATTAAATTTGTAGGCAATCGTCGATTACCGTTTTTTTTTCTTATTAGATATATTTCTACTATTTCTTCGATATAATTATTAGCACACTTTCGTTATAGCGAAATCGAGAATTAATTGGGAAATATGCAATGAAAGATTTAGTTGCTAAACTTCCTCGAGTAGATCAACAGTCTCGAAATCATCTAATTAGTGATTCAACGATTGGAGCAGTCTTAGGTATACTATTCGAAATGGTTAAATATTCTGCAGATTTTACAAGGTTTCTAAAAATTTTTTTCTCTTTTTTTATACTTCCGCTCTGTTATAGTTTTGTTCACTTATTTTTTCTATGAGCCTTATAATCATTTTAGGAGTATTCATGAATGTGGTGGTACTGAGCGTTTGCGCTTATTAGCACGATCCCATCCATTATATAGTGCTCGTATTTGCAAATATGCTTCACAAGTGTGTATTATAAATTGTTTTCCATAAACTTTATAAATATGTTAATCATTTATTTATTTATATTATTTTATGTTATATTGACTTTTTGTATTTTTTTATTAATTTATTGCTTCTTTCTACCAATATGTTTATTATATTATCTGAATTCAAAATTTAATTTAAAAAATTTTTTTTGGTGATTTTTCTAATCGTTCTTACTCTATAAAATTTTAGACATTAAATTTTAAGGTATTATATATGATGTGGCAGCACAAAGATCTGCATGATGGTTTCAAACGCAGTGGTCTGAAGGAAACTGATTTCTTCTCAGGTCCGGCATATAAAGCTCGAGATACAACTACTTTGGCCAGACCAATTTCATCACAAGGAGCTGAACGACCTGTAAATCTTCGAAGTGAAATTTTCGATGATTCTGCTAGTGCGTGTGATACAGCGAAACATGATGAACATATTAGGGTAAATTCAATTTTTTAATATTAAATTAGAAAATATTAATTTTAATTAAAAAATATTTTATATAATATATAATTTTAATAAAAAAAATAAAAATTTAAAAAAAATTTTAAAAAATAAAAGAAATTGAAAATTTACTAAAAAATTAATAAATAAATAAATAATAAATATATTTTAATAATAAATAATAAATAATAAATTTAATAAAAAATTTTAAATATTTATGAAGTAATTTTAAAATGTTGGTTTCAGCTGGGATATTCAGAAAGTCCAAGGTCAGTCAATCAAGATCGCACTTTCTTGCTAGATCCATCTAATCGTTATCAGTCACAATCGCCAGTATCTTGTCAGCAAGTTGGTTTTTTTTAGAATTTTCTGAAATCAAAACTAAATAAATTTTTCAAGATTTTTTGCATCCATATCACCTGTAAAATCAAAATCAGATAAGTTATTGCTTTAGCCTTATGAACCTTTATATGCTTCTGTTCATAAATATGGCAACACAAGGCGTCAATCTGCTGGTGGAGATAGTTGGGTTTGAGTTCCATAGCGTTATATCAGTTCAGTCGATAGATAGTATATATTTTCATTTATATGAATTGTTTCCATTTACGGCAGGTTGAAATTCTATTATTTTGCAATATTTTTGCCTTCTGTTTCGGGTGATAAAGCAGCAAATTTCTTTTTGTTTCCTCTTTTTCCTTTTCTTTTCTTGATCCATTTTTTTAACTAGTTGTTGGCCATTATATTCTGCTTTTCTCATTTAATTTTCATTTAAAATTTTGGTTCTACTAATTTTTTTCTTATTTTTCGATTTTATTCTTATTACATTCATTGGTTCAAATTATATTTTTCCTATTAATATTCCTTTAAAGTGGATGAAAAAATGTTTTGTTTCATAGTTATAAAATTTTTTTATAATTTTTTTGTAACAATTTATAATTTTTTTCTTTTATAATAATGGAGAGGTTGTGCCATAAATCGGTTTTCAAAGTTTTATTAGTGTTATCTGTACGTTTTTTGTTGAGCATTCCTTTGAACTTTTTGCTTACTTTTGGATTTTCCTCGTATTGTATCTATTTCTACGTTTAATTTTCATGGTTTTAATGGTTTTAATATTTGTTTTTAATAATGAAAAATTTTTTTTCAGTTCGTGATTTTTCATTTGTAATTATTTTTAGATATTTTTGAATTCATAAACTGGATTTCTGTACTAAAAAAATTCCCTTTTGTTATATTAAGTTCAAATAGGTATTAATCAAATTTAGGCGTAAAAATAAATTTCAATCTATAAGATCGTTATTTAATTTAATTTGTCTTAAATTTTTATTAATTTTGTCGCTTTCTATTCTATTAGGTTTCCTATATTGATTTATTTTTAGTGAATGATTTTGTTAAAATCAAATTATTCATTTTGCTTTTAAGATTATCTTTATACTAGCCGAAAATTTATTTAGCAAATTTTTTTGATATTTTGGTAAATAAAATTTTTAAATATTGGTTTTTTGTTTTTTGTTTTGTTGTACGATAAAATTTAAAAAATGATCTGGTTTTACTGATTTATTTATTTTAAAAAGAGCACAAGAAACGAGTTTCTTGTGGTAATTAAAAAATATTTTTGTAGTTTTCAGGTGAAATCGAATCATTCAATTCCTTTATAAATTAATTTTAACCTTAAATTTAAGAATTAAAGAATAATTCCGTTGGAGAAACATTGTTTAAAAGATCGTCTAAATTGGAAAAATTTACATGAACTTTATTTCACGCTTGTCAGCTCATTGAATTAACCAAATCTTTTACAATTCATTTAGAAAATTTTTTTGAAATGCTTGCAGGTATATAGCAGAAATAGGTATTTTTAATAATAAATAGTAGTTTAATGGTAAAATATTCATTTGGTTTTTTCAACAATATGTGCTTTTTTCCTTCGGGAAATTGTGGATGCAGTATTCTTTCCCGAGATCGGCTTATGCTATTAATATCCATGAGTACAATCTCTACAGTATGTATTTGCATGAAGCATTTTTGTACCATTTATCTCATTCACTAACAAATAACAATGATTAGTAAATAATAGAAATGCTCAATTCATCGGTGACAGGTGTTCATTTAAGTTATTCATGGAAAATATAATAAAATAAATGAATAAAAAATATAACCGGAAGAGATATGGATCTTCTTGCAAAAAAAAATTCCCGAGTGGAAGGTTTTAAATTCGCTTGAGAATATCGTTTAATTGTTGATTGTAATCAACTATATTATATAGGGCGGTTAAAACAATAAAAAGAAATGATTTCTTGAAATGTGGCTTTGTACTCGACGAAGGCTTTTCAGGTAATATCCAAAGGTATTCCAGCAGAACGCAATCGCCAAGATAGGAATCTTTTCTCGATCGGTCTCACCTTTGAAGTGTCACTGATCGGTCGTCAAAAAGTAACAAATCGACGATCGTTGACGATTGTAAGCGTTAGGCTATCGCAGTTACCAATTACAGTTCGTTATTCTTGACCCCACTCTAATTATAGGAAAATAAAACTAAAAATGTCGAGGCCATATGATCAAAGCGATTTTTCCGATTCATGAATTCATTCATGAATTATTGCGAGAAGCCGAGTAATTCGCATGAAAATTTTTTCTTCAATTTAAAATGTTCAGTGGGTTTTAAATATTCAACTTTTCAAAATAAGATTTAAGACAATTCAAATTTTTGAAAAATGAGTGGGGATTTTTATTTCAAGAATATTTGTGGAATAATAATATATATGTAATTGCATCACTTGAGTTTGTTTCTTCACAATCTAAAGAGCAAAAGGCCAAGGAAATAATGCTTCTATTTCATAAGATTTACCATGTTGAAGTAAAGTAATGTTGAAATAAGAAATTTAATGAAAAGTAAGTGGATCCATCTGTTCGTTTATCAATCGGTTATAACTGCTAATTGCTTGCATAAATATAAAATTCTTAACATAAATATTATCTTCAAATAAAATTACCTATTTTAATAATATCGGTTCCATTTAAAATTTAAGATTATATTTGAGAATCATAAATATAGGAAATGGGCAATACTAAAAGTGAAGTGACATATTTGGCTCAGATTAAATATTTTAATCATTTAGAATCATAATAGTTCGATTCGCGTCCATTGCCCACAAACTTTCCGTATTCAAGGTAAAATCCAGACAGTTTTAGATGCCATATGTGCTTCTCTCAATGGCTTCAAACTACCTTGGTGAATGGATTGGATCTTATTCTACTAATCGTGGTTAGTGGGACCATACAGGCCAAAATACTGCATTTCGTTATAAGAAAAATTTTTTATAATAAGTGCTTTATTTTTTAATTTTTGTATGTAATTTTCATATAAAAAAAAATTTTTGAAGACCTTTATAACTTATATATTTTTAAACTCTTGTCGTCATCCACCTGTTTTGCTGTCTGTAGTTAAATAAATTTCTCATTATAAGCCTCATTTATAATTGTTTGGTAGCAGTCATTTTGGAATAACATCGCCATGGGAGCACAGAAGTTTTGTTATTAGCCAAACGTTATAATAGGACATCTTGTAAAGGTTATTGTCAATTTGAAATTTCATTATTGGTTGCAAAGAATTTTCCACATGCGACGAGCACTTTTATCAATAAAAGCTATCTACAGGAAAAGATTTCGTAAATAATAATCTAAGAATAAAATAAGGTCATTAATATTGCTGGCGATTTGTACAAATGATTCGACCCGAGAAATGAACTCGGTTGTATTATAGCTAATATAAATTTTCTCACGAAATTTTAAATGCTTTGATGTTTTGTGGTGAAATTGCATTAAATGAAAAAATTGGAGAATTTTAGCAGTTTTTAAATAAAATAAAATTCTTTGAAAACTGAATTGACCATTATTCCAGAAAATGGGGCAAGAAATTGCAACTTAACGTTGAAAGAACCGATGTCTTTCTGGACCTTCAAAGATAATTTTCGAAATAAAATGCAACTGCGTAAAAAGAATTTAGTATTATTTTTAAGCATTTTTAAACGTTGTAGAGCATGGGATTTTATTATATAATCTCTCCTTTAATGCGATAATCTTTTAAAAGGGAATTTTTATTCTTTCAGTTAATGAATTTTTATTACTTATATAATATTCTCTGTCCCATCAATTAATTTCATATAAATAAATCTTTCCATATAAATGAAAATATAATATACAATATATTGTCACCATGCTTATCATAGCAAATTTCTATATTCTCTATTTTTTGTTATAATATCTATCAGCTGTCATATTAATAAATTGGGCGAGGAGTAAAACAAGGCGCCACTGCTAAAATACTCGACACCTGTCAATAATTGTTGGCCACCAAAAACTCATAAAATCAACACAAAACTTAATTTCTATTTGTTAATTGAATATATTATGATTAATTCTACAATCAATTGGGTTAAACTAAGTGCCAAGGCCTGTCTAAATTTTTTTGCAGCTTATATAATTTGAAATCATTTATTTTTAATAATCTCTTAATACCATAATTTTTTAAAAGAGAAACAAAAATCTGAGAATGTTTAGCCCAATTAATCAAATGAACTGAAATTTTGTTAAAAATATAATTGTATGAGAAATTTTATGTTGATATTTTAGTCCCTTTACGATGGAAATTTTGTCTTTGTTGAGATGTATGTCGTATGAAATGCACCTTCAACTTTCTATGATTAATCCTCTAATTAATCATCTGATTTTTATTTATGGCAGCACCATTAGTTAGATATTATCTTAATTCTAACTAAACATTCCCACAGATTTTGTCTCATATCGTTGTTAATCCGATGACGACACCACACTCCTTTAATAATAACTGCATTTATGTAAACTTTTTCGGTTATATAATACATTCGCTGTCTATTTGTAATTGTTAATAATCGACTTCACTTGACCTTAGAAGTTCTGCTTTGCACGTGGGAGGCTTATATTTTTTGCTGAGGTTAAATTTAGTTGCTGGCTGATTCAATTATTATCAGCCGAAAATAAAAACATTCACTAAAAAAACATTCTATAAAAACATTCACTATTTCCAATGTAGCTAGCTGTGCTGGCCATGAATCCTATCGTCAGAAGATCACATGTAGATAGAAGCCATCAGTTCTAATGGCATGTTTTCTTTATGGCGTTTGACCCTAAAAACCTATCATTGTCTAACCTGCTTGATTTTCTGCCGGAGAACATAAAAAATTAGCAAACGTACTAAACGAAATAAGCACTATTACTAAAACTTTTGTGTTGAAATATTCAAATAATTCGACGAATTTAATTCATTCGTCAGAATCTTCGCTTTATAAAATAAAATATCCGACAAAAAAATGGGAATTCTTTCACAGTATCAATCAACTAAAATATCAATTATTGTGTCTGTTCGAATAGTTCAATAAATTAATTAAACCGTTACTTTCCAATTGCCATAGTAAAATATTATTTCAATTTAATTTCATTTAAATATTATTTCGATTCAATATTATTATTATTTTATTATAAAATATTATCTATTCTTTCACA